ACCCCAAATACTCTAGGGATCAGTCCTTACCTATTGCTGTTCTTGGCCATTTTTTGTTTTTTGTTTTTGTTTTTGTTTTTAATGAGAACATGAGCTGGCTCTTTCCTCATACAATTTTCTCATCTGACACCTTATGTGCCACTCCCAAATCACAGGTTAATCAGTCACTATTCTATGTTACTTCCACACCTTACACCTGTGTCTAGAGTTTACTTAACACTCTAATTATTTGCTTCCTTGTCCATTTCTCCTGCTAGATCATGAGTTCCTTGGGGGCAGGGATCATGTCTTAGTCATTACTCTTTCTTTAGAACCTAGCAAATATACAGTACCCAGTAGGTGGTACTGAATGTTTGCTAAAAGAATGGATCTGTCCTTTCTAGCCAACAAGGTCCAGTTTTTACCAAAGAATACCAAACTGGTTTGGTTACCTTGGATACTTAGTTGCTTATGAGAAAACATCGGGTATAAGAGGGAGGTACCATCTGAGTTCCACTGCTTTCACTCACTTTGACTTATGGGAGTCCAGAGCAGAAAGGACAAATTAAGTCCACAAATAGACAGAACCTTGTTTGAAACCAGTTTCAACTTCCTCCCTTATAAAAGCTTTTGTAAAGTTGCCAAAGAGAAGCAGAACTGACAGACTGGAGTTTCATCTTTTATTTCCCGGGTCTGACTGGGGAGAAAACCTGCAGGGCCAAAGCGGAGGGAGACAGAGGGCAGACTTGAAGGACCGCCAGCCGGAGGGAAGGAAGAAGGGAGGAAGTTCGCTACAAATGTTAATAGTCTGTGCCAAGTCTTAGCCAGAAGTACTATCCAGGTTTCAAATTTTGTCTCTCCTCATCTCCTGCTCAGCGAGACCCCTAACCAGCAAGATCGTGACCTGAGCTGAAATCAAGAGTCCAGATATTTAACCGACTGAGCCACCCAGAAGCTCTGCCTGAGGCCATGCTTTTTCCTTTTTTTAGTTTATTTATTTATTTTGAAAGAGACAGAGCCAGCAGAGGAGAAGCAGAGAAATGGAGAGAGAGAATCCCAAGCAAGTTCCACACTATCAGTGCAGAGCCCAACGTGGGGCTCAAACCCATGAACCGTGAGATCATGACCTGAGCTCAAATCAAGTTGGATGCTTAACCTACTGAGATACCCAGGACCCCTGGGGGAGGCTATTCTTAATTCGTCTTCACTACTGCCAACCTCTCAGCTCTCCCAGGCCCCTTCTCCTTGCCTCTGCCTTGCAGTGGACCCACTGGGGAGGGAGCCCGGGGTAAGTCACAATCAAATCAAGACCCAAGACCAAACTTCTCAGGACTTGGTGGGAAACAAAATTTTTAAATGAATTTGGTTCTTTTTTTTTTTTAATTAAAAATTTTTTTTAATATTTATTTTTGAGAGAGAGACAAAATGTGAGTAGGGGAGGGGCAAAGAGAGGGAGACAGAATTCCAAGCAGGCTCCAGGCTCCAAGCTGTCAGCACAGAGCCCTATGTGGGGCTCGAACTCATGAACTGTGAGATCATGACTTGAGCTGAAGTCAGTTGCCTAACTGACTGAGCTACCAGGCACCCCTCTGTATTTTTTTTTAAAGAGAGAGAGAGCAAATGGGGGAGAGGGGCAGAGAGAGAAAGAGAATCTTAAGCAGGCTCTACACTCAGGGTAATGCCTGAGGCAGGGCTCGATCTCACAACCACAAGATCATGACCTGAGCCAAAATCAAGAGTTAGACGCTTAACCAACTGAGCCCCACCCAGGCGCCCCTTAAAATTGGTTCTGTTTTGATGTAAAGACTGGGTGTAATCACAGAATCCTAAGACAGGGCGGAACTCAGAAATCAGTGTGTCTTACCAAAGCAAGCAGTCATACTGTTGCCAAAATCTCAAGGCTTTTCTCTACTTTTCCTGCCCTACATATCAGAAGGCATAAAACAAATGACCACATCTGCTTAAAAATATGTATTGTGAGGTTTTTACTCATTTCCTTGCTAGAAATCTATAGCTTCAATCCTGATAAGATTTCAGGTTGTCCTTTTAGGCACATTCACAGAACCACAGTTCATATTCTTAGAACTCTACAGTCTATTCAACCACCCATTAGCAGTCCACCACATACCTCCACTCAGCCTCCTCTCCAGGGTCACTACTCTATGCGGTAGAGAAGAGAGGGGCTGTCCCTCAGACTGCCTTCTCATTCCAGTTCATCATTTCATTCACCCAACCAACACTAATTAATACAAGTGCCAGGCACAATGCCAGATGAATAAGACCAGGTCTGTGACCTCAAAGAACCTGCAATCTAATAGAGGGAGTACATAGTAAGGAATTTAACCTTGCTCAAAGGGAGGGTAGCCTTTGCCCTTGGCTCCTAGAAACAAGCTCTAAGCCTTTGGAATGTCCTAAAAAAAGTGTTTACCTGGGGGTCTTTGGCCACACTAGACAGTCTAGCAATGTGATTGGGGGGAAATGAGGACTTTGGATCATGTGTTATCAGCTAGACCTCTGGAGAGGCTAGAGACTGGGGTCAGCCAATCAGGTCTATATGACCAAGTCCCAGTAAAAACTTTGGACACCAAGGCTCAGGTGAGATTCTCTGGTTGCCAATACTCCAGGAGTACCGTCACACACAGTGCCCAGGAAAGTTAATGCTGTCCATGATTCCACTGGGAGAGGACAACTGGAAGACTTGTACTTAGAATTTTTGGGACTCTGCCCCATACATTTCTTCCCTTGGCTAACAATCTGTTTCCTTTCACTGTGACAAACTACCTGTGAGTATAACAGCTTTCAGTGAGTTCTCAGTTCAGTTCAGTGAGTTCTCAGCAACACCCTCTGCCTTTCTGAGGACAAAATAAATGAATTCCAATGGATTCACTCTCTTTGTTCCTCTGCTTAAGATACAGATTCTTGGTGAGGAGCATGTGATTGGCCCATCTTGAGTCATGAGCCTGATGTTTGGCTAAAGGAAGGCAATTCCCCGAGATTATAGTCCCACCAGACCACACTGCATGGGGAAGAGATAATTCCACAAAAAAGAAACTGGTTGCTGTTCAGAAGGGTGGCCAGAAAACTAATATCCAATCACGACAACTTATTTACACAACCATCTTTGAAAGAGGTGACAGGAGGTAGTTTTATAATTCATAAGAAATATGACCTGAAGACACATTCTATTCAGTGATTGATAATATTGGCTCCTCGGTTAAAAATAGAAGGGGCACTCCTCTAAGATACATCCTTTGATCTATCATTCAACAATATCAAGTTGTGCATGGTGATAAGTTTGGCTGGTATGTTCTGTCTCCCAAGAATGTCCTTTGAGGAAGCAGTCTCTCCAGACTGCTTATTTCTGAGCAGAGCCCGGCGAAGTCTCTGTGACGCTAGCTAGTATGCACAGCTCCTGAAATGATATAGTTGGCCTGCTAAGAGTACAAACTAGAGACTTCCTTTGGAAGATCATGTAGCATCTAGACAGCCGACAACATGCTTCTTGGCAAGAGGAGCACAATGTTCCTATTGCAGAATTGACCCAAATTCAGAAAAGAGTTTATTGATGTAGGCATGCTTAAATCTGCAGCCAGCAGGATCATGGTGGCGGGGGTGGGGGTTGGGGGGGGATAGTTGTCTTCTTTCTCTGATTTTACAGAGTCAGCTTGAGCAACTCTGTAAGAGCCCAACACTGAGGCAAGTTCCACTGGTGTGCCGAATTTGTGTAATCGGGCTCTACTTAACCACGTCTGCCCAGATCTGTTCCCAGAATTAATCAACACAAAGGAACAACTGCTAGTCAGACAAGATCTGACCTGCATCCCTCTGAAATTTTGTCCACAGGACACTAGTAACTGCTGGACTAGAATAGTGAAGTCTTTTTGTCCAATAAAAGAAGTCCTAGAAAGGTGGAAAGCACTATGAGAAGCAGATCGAGGCCACAGGAAACGGGACACATTTCCTGAACACACAGCAGAAACGAATTGGTTAGTTTCAGATACTATCTTCCACTGCCACAGCTGCCAAAGAGCCTACTTGACAAATCTGAATGGATCTGGCCGGCTCAGAGCTCTTCCATGACATCAAATCTAAAACCTCTGCAGAACACACAGGCCCATCTCTCTCTTCAGCCTCCTCCTGGGCAGCTCCCCAACCCTCGTTTGAACTTGAGCCGTGCTGAACCTGCTTCAGGTCCCAGAGGGAGTCCTGCCCTGCTCTGGAGGGTGCAACTGCATACCCTGCTGCCTGTGTGAGAAAGTCCCACTCTCCTGTCTGCAGAGCCCCTTCTGTCCTGCTCAGAACCTCAGTTCTGCTCCAACTTCCTCTATGGAACCTCCTCTGCTTTCCCGCCCCAAGCTCTATGCATCTTTCAGCCCTAAAGCAATGGTCTCAGCGTCCTGCTGGTGGGTGTCTTTCCTCACTGGACTGCAAACTCCTCAAGGGCAGACACCAAGTCCTGTCCCTATAATTCTCTACATCACGGGGGCCTGGCACAAGGCTTATCTTCTGGAAGGCGCAAATGTTTGTTGAAGTTGTGAATGAACTCCATTTGCATTTTATCTCTGGCAGTGTCTAAACCAAAGAAACTCGCACTTCTCAGAAGAGGGAACATATTCAAATACCAAGAACTGCAGTTCCTGGTAAGACCTTTTAGAAAATGACGTTACTAACAGCAGCAACTGGAAACTCAGCAGAATGCTTAAGTGCTAAAAACAGTGCAATGGGCCAAGACTTGAACAGTCATGGTTTAGGTAGCCCGGGTTGCAGCAGGGGGAGGGGGAGGTAGGGGAGGGTCATGGCCATCTAAAGTTTTAAGAATCACAAACACCTTCTTTCTTAAGAATTACATATATTTACATTGTAGATATCTGGGATACACTTTTCACAGGAGTTACTTCTCAAATCCCAAATCCATCCAATCTGGAAACCGCCCTCAACTGTCTGAGCCAGCATTTCAGATAGGAGATAAGCTGTTTCCAGCTGGAGTGGCTTTGGAAAGTACACTCTAAAATGAAGTCACCTGTTTGTTGTCATTGTCCTCCTCCCCAGCCTTCCTTCTGGGACCAAGCCCCATCCTGTGACTCCCCAAGGAGCCACCCTGTTTAGTTTTCCATGAGGCTCCCTGGGGGGTCAAGGCCATGGGGAGGGCTCTTCAGCTTGGGGGTAGACAGGTGTTCCAACTCATAGTGTCCACTCTCAGATGCCTTGTGTGTGACTTTCTCCTTCATGCCTTCCTGGCTCCTCTTGTGCTCAATAATCTGCTGGAGCTGCTGCCCAGCATATTCTGGCTTGGTGGTCAGTGGGCCAGCTGGCACGGCTACTCCAAGAACATCTGACACCATGTAGGGGCGCAGCCAACCCACAAGAGGAGTGCTTCCAGGGCTGTAGTGGGTCTGCTTGTGGTAGAAGAGAAGTCCATCTACCTAGAAAAGGGGAAATCAGAGACCAAAGTGACTTCTGGGGCCATGTATTTCGAGGAGAGCCTATGCATATGGGGGCCGCTCTAATGGACCTTTCCTGGCCTTTCCTGGATCACTGCCAGTGGAAAAATAATCCTTGTTTCTCACACATGCAATTTCTCTAAATGAAGAAATGACCTAGAAATCTAAATTTTAGAAAATAAAAACATAAACAGCACTTTCCTGTTTACAGGGTGCTTGCCTACCCACTACTTCACCCTCTTACCCACCATTGAGGGTGTTTAAGATGGCACTAGGGCTAGCTCTGGGGGCCTCCCCCAAAACCCAGGCAGTATGAAGCACAAATTCAACGTGAACCCAGGTCTTCTGTCCCCAGATCCCATGTACTTTTCAGTACTCAGATGTCTCTGTAATGGGGAATGTTCTCCACACAGGGCACAAACCAGGAGAACTGGACAGGCCCCTCCAAGATGCTGGACTGCTGAACACAGGGAAAACAGGCTGTCAAGAAGCCCTGTTCCCCACACCATTGTTGGCTGCCTGACCTCCCCCTAAATTATCTGCAAGCTATGTTCTGGGAAACTCAGTTTTTCTCAACGGGAAGACCTCCTACAGTCCCACATTTTCTTTTCCGTGATTCAGTGACTCATCTCTAAAAAGCATTTATTGTCACTGGGGCATAGGGTTATAAATAAAGATGGTGTTCTTACCACCTTCTTAATTGACTCTCAGAAATGAAGGCAACTCAGCCTTTGCCATTTCCTCATTTGGGAAGCTGTGATCCTTTTAACAAAATTATATCAAGCTCAAGCAAATACTTCTGCGTGACTAGGCAGAATTTTAAAGGGTACGATGGGCAAAGGAAAGTCTGTGTGTTGAGGCTGGAGAGGATAACTGTAGATTCTGAGGATGATAAAAGGTTGCTGAGAACTGAGGAGCTTCTAGAGACATGAGACTTTTGGTGCTAAATCGAGAAAGTTCTGGACAAACCAGGACAAGCTGGTCACCCTGCCTCCACACCACTGTTCAGAAAGCACTGCCATCCCCAGCCATCATTTGCTCTTGGGAGGAAGGAAGGATAAGGAGTTTGAACCCCTGTGGTCTGTCCGTCACAGGAGCTCCCAACTTTACAGTCAGCTATGGCAGCCAGGCTTGTGGCCGAAAACAGGCACCCCAGAAGGACCTAGGAATGGAAGCCTTGTCCCTCCCTGGGCCCCCACCTCTCCACCTGTAAAATGAGGGACACAGACGAGCAGCTTTGGCATTCTGATGTCTCTAACAGAGCAGAGCTGAGGCTCTGAAGGACAGCGGCACATCTTTTTCCAGGAATCAGCTTTCAGCCCTTTTCTGATGCTTTGACACAGCAAAGTCAGAGGATATCCTAAGACATTGGGTAACCAAGCTCCCTGTGTCCTGCAGTCCCATCAGAGCAATAAAGACAATGCTTGTGTTACCTCAAAAGGGAAATCCATTGACAGCACCTGACACAGGCTCTCAGGGGTACAAGGGAAATTCTTTAGTCCTACAAATTTAAACTAAAATATAAATTACAACAAAGAATTAGCACATGTTACAAATAATATTGGTTCTAGCAAGTAAAAACTGTATCAAAGAAAAAAAGTTCAGTCTCATCCTTCCCTACCTCCCCTCCCCCACCGTATTACTGGGTTGGAGGTTCTCAACCTTGCTTTATCCACAAGAATCATCAGGGAAGCTTTTAAAAATCACTGAAGCCCATGCCTCACTCAGAGATTCTGGCTGAATTGGCCTGGGATGGGTCCCAGGCATTTTTTTTTTTTTTTTAAGCTGTCCAGTTGAGTTTAACACGCACCCAGGACTGAGAACCAGTGTCCTGTGCTAGGTTTAGGGGTTGTATGTTATTCTCGCAGCCATATGACAGTCCTACAGAAGGGCTAGAGAAGCCCCTTCCACATCAGCAAGGATTTTTAGACTGAGCAGTATAATAAAGTGATTAGGACTAAAACTCTAGTAAGTCAGATTGCTTGGGTTTGACTCCCAACTCTGCCAATCATTTCATCTGTATATGCCTCTGCTTTCCCATCTATAAAATAGGATAATGAAAGTATCTACCTCATGGGGGTTGTTGCACGGGTTCAATGACATAATACACGTAGAGTGCTTAGAACAACATTTCAGAGAGAGCAGCTCCTATGTTCCCCTTCCTCAATGCATGTTCTCCCAGGACCTTACCGATAACATCACTAGATACTGACTCCATTTATTGTCCTGTAACTGGTTACCCGATTGCTTTTAAAAGTGTTGCACGAAGTATGGGGCGCCTGGGTGGCGCAGTCGGTTAAGCGTCCGACTTCAGCCAGGTCACGATCTCACGGTCCGTGAGTTCAAGCCCCGCGTCAGGCTCTGGGCTGATGGCTCAGAGCCTGGAGCCTGTTTCCGATTCTGTGTCTCCCTCTCTCTCTGCCCCTCCCCCATTCATGCTCTGTCTCTCTGTCCCAAAAAATAAATAAACGTTGAAAAAAAAATTTTTTTTTAAAAAAAAAGTGTTGCACGAAGTACAATCAAATGCCAATCTACAGGTGTTTGCTAATAAAATGCCCTGAAAATAGCTGTCGCATATTTAATCAGAGTGGATAGCAAAAGCACTTGGGCTTTCATCCTGGACTGTGGGATGTTGGGGAAGGTAGTCCCTCTCTGAGCTTACACTCTCATCTGTGAAAGGAGTCAGCTGACTAGATGAGGTCATTCTCAGCTCACATACAAGAGCAGAAGTTCTCAAAGTGTGGTCTGTGGACCAGCAGTACCAGCATCACTTGTTAGAAATACAAATTATCAGGCTTCACCCTAGCCCTACTGAATCACAAACACTGGTGAGGAGGGCCCAGGCATCTACGTTTCACCAGGCTTCCAGACGCTGCTGACGCACGTTACAGTTTGAGAACCACTGTACTGGAGTTCTAGATAGCATTATTCGAGACAGTATTATTCTAGATCACATTATTCTAGATAGCATTATTAATAATTATAAAATAATTAGCATTTTATACAACCACTATTTATTAAGTGTATACCATAAGTATGTTAAGAGAACCTGCACATTTGTATCCCTTGGTTCTTAGAACAACTCTGTAAAGTAGGTGTTATTAACCCTATTACACAGATGAAGAAACTAAGGCCAAATGAAGTCAGTAATTGTTAATTGTTAGTTAAAGTTAGTAATTGTTAAAGCCAAAACTGGTTCAGATCTGGATGGCTGTTAAGCCCACACCCTTCCCATTATGCCATGCTCCTTCAAAATTAAAAAGATAAGTCCATTCATAATTATTATATTTAGATAACAGACCAATCCAAGCCAATCCCCATAGAGAATCCAGCAATCCTAACACCAGGCCTTACGGGATTGAGCTTGGTTTTCTCTCCCAGTCCTTCTTCTTCTGGTAACTTTGAATGCATCCAGTAGAACCGGAAATCAGTCTGCCACAGAGGAGGGAAACAAAGATGAAATGCTGCTCACATCAAATGATGATGTGAACAAACACACTCCATCCGAAATAGTCATGTAGTTTCTGAAGATCTAAGCTCTTCTAGCATTGATCTCATGTCTCTTCAAACACTGCCATAAGGTCAGAAAGATACTTATATAAAATTTTTGGAGATTTTTTCTTAAAATCCAATAGGATTTTTAATGGTAGTAGAGCTGATCACTGATCACTGAAGGCCTACTATGTGGCGGGCCCCATACTAAGGACTTTACACACCCTGATTAGTACTCAACCACCCTCTGAGAGCTGGATTACCATCATCTCCATTTTACAGGCGAGCACTATGAGGCTCAGAGGGATTATATCATTTGCCCACAGAAAATACCATCGGTCCCAGGACTCTAACTCCAGAGCACATTATGTTAGCCTTTGTTTTATTTTAATTCTGAGGATTAGAAGCTACTATAGAGTTTTAACTTCTCATATATACTTCATTCTCTGAATTACTGGTATGTACCCTTCCGTAGCTATTTAGTACCTTTTGTTTCTTGTCCATTATTTTGCTTTTAAAAATTAAAAAAACAACATCACAGTTATTTTATATATTATAGAAATATAGGTAGTTTTAGCTACCAAATTTATAAGTTGTGAATACATGTTATGAAACATCCTTCAACAGAATTAAAGGAAAATATGCTCTAGATTGAATTTATGAGATCTGAGTTTTAGGTGTGGCTCTGCACTTGAGCAAGGTACTTACCATCTGTAGCTCTTTGCTTCCATTCCTGTACGATGAGGAATGACAACGGTATTCACCTTATAGAGCTCTTGTAAGGGCTTCAATGAGATAATGCTCACAAAGTGCTCAGCAGTACAAGCCTTGGCTATTATTGTTACGAATTCAGCAGCATGCTTTGGAAAATCATGCTTTGGCTAATGGCTATGGAAAGAGGTAACCTACAGTGACAACCCATGATTCGCAGACTGGGCCTGCACAAGGATCGCCCGGAGGCTCATTAAAACATGAGTTGACCCCAGGGTTTCTGACTCAGTAGGTCTGGGAACTTACATTTCTAGCCACATTGAGAACTACTATGATACACTAATTGACAGGGAACACAAAAAATCACTACTATAAAACTGGGACAGTGACGGGGCAGTGTTGGGAGCAGAGATGGAATCTGAGGGGTTGACCTAGCCTTACTCCGATGACTGCTACTGTCACTCCTAAGAATCAACAATCTCAGAAAAATGCTGGGGGAAGGTGACGCTTCGGGGAGAATATCGGGGCCCCTCTTCACTTGGAAAATCTCCTTCCCGGGCAGGCCCCTCAGAGATTCGAGGCTTTCTGTTGAACCAAGGAGGCCCTGCTGTTTTCAGGGTCAGGATGTGGTTGTGAAGCAGTAGAGGTGGCCAGAGACTATTTGATGGTGACTTCATTCTACCTCTCTTCCTTGTGCCACCTGCACAGGTACCATCCCCACTGCCCACGGTCCTCCCCACCAGCAATCCTCCCACACTCCAGAGAGAGTGAGGGGGTGGCTGCAGCTTCTACAGAGTCCCAGCCTGCCCCTCCACTCCGTTTCTCTCTTTTCTCCCCTCAAGATTTGCTGTACTTCCCTTAGTTCCTCCTCCTTCTTTTTTTAAAACAAAGCTAATTTAAACACACTCAAAGAGGCAAGGAACATTAGATAATGTTCTTGATATACCACATCCTGTGCATACCAAGAAGCTGGTCACGTACCAAACCCACATGCTGGGCCACTTTCCCAGGAGAGGAGAAAATAGGAGAAGACATGAGGAGACTATCAATCCCTACCTGGCAGTCATAAAAAGGGTGTCCCCGCCAGCACATCACATCCAGAACATAGTAGGTCTGGTTCACCTCGCTGTAAATGCAGTCCAGAATGGTGTAGTCTGGGGACACAGAGCAGAAAGTCACTACAGGGTTCCCTTTCCAATCAGAGTTTCTTAGGGAGAAAGTTCTTTATGGCCCTTTCTTTTTTATTTTATTTCAATTATTTATTTTGAGAGAGAAAGAGAGAGACAAGGAGAGAGAGAGAATGCAAGTGGGGGGTGGGGGAGAGAGTGAGGGAGAAAGAGAGAATCCCAAGCAGGATCTGCACGGTCAGTGTGTGGACTCATGAACTGGGAGATCATACACTGAGCCAAAGTCTGACACTTAATCAACGGAGCCACCCAGATGCGCCTTCACGGCCCTTTCTCGCTCCTGGGCAGGTTAAGGGCAACTCGAGGTAGGACAGCGTGAGTGGGATCAAGGCAACCCTTAAGCCAGGTGGGAATTTTGAACTTTTATTTTCTGTATTTAATTATTTATTGACTTCAATGTTTATTTATTTAGAGAGGGTGGAGGAGGGGCAGAGAGAGAGGGAGACAACAGAATCCGAAGCAGGCTCCAGGCTCTGAGCTGTCAGCACAAAGCCCGACGCAGGGCTTGAACTCACGAACTGTGAGATCATGACTTGAGCTGAAGTCAGACGCTTAACTGACTGAGCCACCCAGTGGCCCTATTCTGAACTTTTCAATAAACTGGAACATTTACTCACCTTAGAAAAACTCCAGTCCAAAAGGCAAGTAATCTTCCATTTGAATTTACATGCCCTTTTGAGTTCCTATTGTAAGTACTATGATCTGTGTGGAATATTACCTGTAAGTAATTCTTGCCTTTAAGGACCTTATAATCCAGTGCTTGCTTCGGCAGCACATATACTAAAAACCTTACAATCCAGTGAAGGAGATAAGATGATCATAGAGAAGAGAACTGAGAGCTGAGCTGTACAACATGACCTAAGAGCAACAGGAATTCCGGAGGAGCGAGATCGGAGCAGCAGGCGATGCTGCATGGAAGAGATGGTATGTGAACACAGTCTTCTGAGATCAGAGGGTTAAAACAATAGGGCAGAGGGGAGGTGGGAGGGCATTTCAGCCTGGAGAACTGATGTGCCATGAGCAAAGGTGTAGAGGTGAAATGAACATGGTACATGTGGGAAGCAGGGAGGCAAGCCAGCTGAACAAAGCTAGGAGTGGGTATATAGCGGAGGGGAAAGACATGAGGATGGGTGAACCAAAGCTCATGTGTGAGAGGTTCTGAAAGCCAGTAGAAAAGCCTGGGCTCAGTACCAAGCACACGAGGAACCACCGAGGGAGCCTAAGCAGGCAGAAAAGAGAGCAGGCCTCAGGCCCAGCTCTGCCACCTTCTCCATGAATGACAGTGAGCAACTTATTTAACCTCCATGATCTTTGTCTCCTCAGCCGAGCTCAGGTTAGAGGGAGAGGCTAAAGTTTGGACAATGATACAGGAGAAAATATAGGAGAAAAGGGAATTTAGCAGCAAGCCCCAGCAACAGTTTATCATACTTTACACTCAGCGTTCTGAGGGACCTTTTCCCCCAAAACTGCTCGGGTCACCTTGTAATGGATGTCTGTGGGAAAGGTGTGTTGACTTTAATCCAGGGATTTGTTGCCCAGTAGGCCTCACAGGGCTGCATCTATTCTGCAACTGAGGAGGCCTGACCTTGAAGAAGATAGCTTGAATCCAGATATACAGTTTCAAAGGTATGCTTTCAAAGTGAGTCTTTAGAGGCCCCCGGGTGGCTCAGTTGGTTGAGCACCTGACATTGGCTCAGGTCACGATCTCACAGTTTTTGAGTTCAAGCCCCACATTGGGCTTGCTGCTCTCAGTGTAGAGAGCCTGCTTCAGATCTTCCGTTCCCCCCTCTCTCTGTCCCTTCTTTACTCCTGCTCATACTCTCACTCTCAAAAATAAATAAAACATAAAAAAAATTTTTTTAAAGTGAGTCTTTAAAATACATAACCAAGGAACTTCTACTGTCTTTTACGAATTGTAAAACTTAATAAACAGGGGCATCTGGCTGGCTCAATTGGTACAGCATGTGATTCTTGATCTCGGGGTCATAAGTTCGAACCCCTGTTGGGGGTAGAGATTACTTAAAAATACATATATGTATTTCAAAAAAAATTTTTTTTCAACTTAATACATAGACAATTTTATGTAGGTACCTTTTGCTGTCGCTGAGTTTTGCCTGTTGCCTCCCGGCAGCAGGGAAGAAAACCTGTTGACACGGTAACCACTCTTGGTGTAGGCACTGGTAAAGCCCTGTGTGGAAAGTTACCATTCCCATTAGGCATCAGGTCTCCTCACCCTCTTGCCTCACAATCTGCAGGTATCATCAGCGCAAAGATGGCTCTCAACAAATCCCTCCTGCAGAAAAGCCTTTCAATCCCCATGCCAGGTGTAGATGAGGAACACGAAGTGCAGAGAATCCTTCCCGCTACAGACTAGGCATGCTGGATTAGGGAGGGGCCACTACTCACCCTGGAGGCCACGATCAGGGCTCTTTTTCCAACAGGGCACACGACCACAATCCATTCCTGCCCCAGATCTGAAGGGACGTCAATCAACCACTCAGACAGCATCAACTGGGGACACCAAAAAATGGCATTAAAAATCAACAGGGGTGGGGTGCGTGGCTGTCTCAGTCTGTGGAATAGGCGAATCTTGATCTCAAAGTTGTGAGTTTGAGCCCCACGGTGGGTGTTGGAGATTACTTAAAAAATAAAATATTAAAAAGAAAAATCAGCAGCGGTGTGCTGCTGCGACATCTGCACCAACAGAAAGTTCATATCCTATATATATAAAATGAGAATACACGTAGGCTGACAGTGCACCTGCACCTGCTTGCTCTTAGTTGACTTGTCTCAACTGACACTGACTCAATGGAGGCCGCGTGAACTTCACTGTGAACTTCAACTTCTCTCCTCATCTTCATTTCCTGCATCCATAATTCTTACTACCTTGCTTCCTGTGTCTGGGTGACGGGACCCTCTTCCTCATCTTACTTTGTCCATCTGCCTGCCGTTCTCATAACTATTATGTTCTAGGGGCTATAACCTCAGAGATGAATAAGGTCCCTGACCTTGAGATGCTCTTAATCTAGATCATTTCTCAAACTGGTGACCCCAAATACCTTAGCAAAAGATTTTGGGAAAACTGCCTTAAAAAACAGGGGTGGGGGAACACGGGTGGCAAAATGAATCTGCAAAGATGAACTCTTCCACTCATGGCTCACAATCCCTCCCATCTACACAGAGACTGGCCTATCAACTACTCCCTCCCACGGAATCTCTCATCTCTCCTTCCCCTTGGCCCACAAAATGCTCAAGCCCTAATCATAAAAAACAAAACAAAAATGAAAACCTTTAATCACTTTGCGTTTCTGTTAAACTATTCCACTTTCTCCTTTTTAAAACAACTTTATATTTCTTTTTTTTATTTAAAGTTTATTTATTTTGTGAGAGAAAGCATGAGTGGGGAAGGACAGAGGGAGAGGGAGAGAGAATCCTAAGCAGGCTCCGCACCGTCATCACAGAGCTTGACTCAGAACTCAAGCTTATGAACCACAAGATCACGACCTGAGCTAAAATCAAAAGTCGGACACTTAACCGATTGAGCCACCCAGGCGCCCCAACAACTTCATATTTCTTGATGCTACCCCCGCAGCCCTGCCAACAGCCATCAGTGACCTCCTCTCTCTCTTCCCTCTCCCCCACCTTGTCCTCCCGGCTCCACTCCTGTCGTGACACTGCTTGTCACCACCTCTTTGTCCTCCTTGACGCATGTTCCCTTAGCCCCATGACACGGTGCTATTCTTTTTCCTGCCAAACATTCCTCCAAATGCTCCCCCAAAGCAATGTAGAGAATGTTCAGGAGGCTGTTTTAGGTTCCCCTTCTTTTCTCTCAGATGCTGCCCCACTGGGGCTGGACCGCATTATGTTTGCAGCCTCACCTGCCATTTCTGAGAGGACACCTCCTAATTCTCCTTCTTTTTCATTTCCAAATTGCTTTCCTTTCCTCCAGACCCATATTTGCACCTGTCCAGGAGGTATCTCTTTCTCTGCTTGCTCTCTCTGTACCTTAAACTCAATGTACCCAAAACAGGACTCACTGCCTTTGGTCACCCAAGTACCTTCCATCCCTGAAACCCCCCTTTCTCTTTCTGCATCCTGTAGCCCTGTTAATAGCAACACCACTCTCTGTTACCGAATCTTAAACCAAGGCGTAATCAACACTTCCTTAAAGAATGGTACTGCTACAACACCAAAAGCACAAGTGACAAAACACAGGAGCCATAAGTAAGACTACACCAAAATTTAAAACTTTAGTGCTGCCACTGATACCAACAGCAAAATAAAAAGATAACCCACAGAATGGGAGAAAATATTGGAAATTATGGATCTGGTAAGAGACTTGTATCTAGAATATATAAAGAACTCTTACAACTTAACGATAAAAGGCAACCCAATGAAAAAGGGGCATAGACATTTCTCCAAAAAAGATATACAAATGGTTAATAAGCATGTGAAAACGATGCTGGATATCATTAGTCATTAGGGAAATGCAAAACAAAACCATGAGACACAACTTCACACCCACTAGGGTGGCTCTACTCACAAGGATGGACAATATCAAGCACTGGCAAGGTGTGGAGACACTGGAGCCCTCATACACGGCTGGTGGAAACATAAAACATTGTAGTCACTTTGGAAAACAGCCTGACAGTTCCTCAAAATGTTAAACACGGAGTTACCATATCACCTAGTGATTCCATTTCCAGGTATATACCCAAGAGAAATGAAAACATATCCACACAAAAACTTGTGTGTGAATGTTCACAGAAGCATTATTCACAATAGCCAGAAAGGGAAACAACCCTAATGGTCACCAATGGATAAATGGATAAACAAAGTGTAGTATATCTATACAACAGAAAAGATTTTTTTAATGTTTATTTATTTTTGAGAGACAGTGAGCACAGCGGGAGAGGGGCAGAGAGAGAGGGAGACACAGAATCCAAAGCAGGCTCCATCCAGGCTCTGAGCTATCAGCACAGAGCCCGACGTGGGGCTCAAACTCATGAACCCCAAGATCATGACCTGAGCCAAAGTTGGATGCTTAGCTGACTGAGCCACCCAGGCGCCCCAACAGAATATTATTTGGCAATAAAAAGAAATGAAGTTCTAACACATGCTCTAACACAGATGAACCTTGAAAACCTTATGCTAAGTGAAGAAAACCAGGCAAAAAGGGTACATCTTGTATGATTCCATTTATATGAAATGTCTAGAAGAGGCAAATCCATAGAGAAAGAAAGCAGATTACTGATTGCTAAGGGCTGGGGGAAAGGAAGAATGGGAACTGATTGCTGATGGGTATGAGGGTCCTTTTTGGGGTGATGAAATGTTTTGGAATTAGACAGTGGTAACAGTTGCACAGCCCTGTAAATATATTAAAAACCACTGAATGTGTCAAAACCCTGTAAATGTGTGAATTGTATGGTATTTGTATGGTATGTGAATTTATCTCAAGGCTGTTTAAAAAAATAGTACTTGTGGGGCTCCTGGCTAAGTATTTAGGATATACTATCTCATTTAATCCTTCTAACAATCCTATGAAATAGTACTGTAAATATCCTCATCTACAGATAAGAAACCAGAGATTTAGAGAGGTTAAGTAACTTGCTTAAGGTCAACAAAAAGCCTGGCTTTGAGGTCAGGTCAATGTGACTTCAGAGCTTAAACATTTAACCACTTCTCATATTGCCTCTTCTATCCAATCTATTGTTAAATTCCATCTGTTCAACCTGGCAATACTTCTCATATTCATGACCTCATTTTCTTTACACCTTCACTGCCCTCAGCACTCATCATCAGATGGTTTTAGCAAAGTTAAGCTCCCTACTACAGTCTCTCTCTTCCAGACCCTTTTATATACACTGATGGGCATGTCATACAAAGTCTCAACTCTGTCCCTGGCTCAACAATTCTTGATGGTTCCCCGAAATCTAAACCATAGTCTAGGGGGACCTGGGTGGCTTAGTCAGTTAAGCATCCAACTCTTGATTTTGGCTCAGGTCATGATCTCATGGTTCATGAGTTTGAACCCCAAGCAGGGCTCTGTGCTGACAGTGTAAAGCCTGCTTGGGATTCTCTCTCTTCCTCTCTCTCTCTCTGTCCTTCTCCTGCTCATGCTCTCTCTCAAAAGAAAACAAAACAAACAAAAACCTTAAAATCAGTAAGTAAGTAAGTAAATAAATAAATAAATAAATAAAGTCTAAACTCTTGCACATATTTCTTTGTTTTTGAACGTTTATTTATTTTGAGAGAGAGAGAGAGAGAAGGAATCCCAAGCAGGCTCCTTGCTGTCAGCACAGAGCTGGACATGGGGCTCGAACTCATAAGATGTGGGATCATGACTTGGGCCGAAATCAAGAGTCTAAAGCTCAATAGACTGAGTCACCTAGGTGCCCCAAACTCAGGGCTTTTGTACTTCCCAGAATGAGTCATTTTTTTAAAAAAAATTTTTTTTTTCAACGTTTATTTATTTTTGGGACAGAGAGAGACACAGCATGAATGGGGGAGGGGCAGAGAGAGAGGGAGACACAGAATCGGAAACAGGCTCCAGGCTCTGAGCCATCCGCCCAGAGCCCGATGCGGGGCTTGAACTCACGGACCGCGAGATCGTGACCTGGCTGAAGTCGGACGCTTAACCGACTGCGCCACCCAGGCGCCCCAAGAATGAGTCATTTTTAAAGGATGTAATCTTTTCTAAAGGTGTAATCTCTCCACCTAGGTGGGGCTCAAATCCATAATCCCGAGGATCAAGAGTTGTGTGCTCTATTGACTGAGCCAGGCAGGCACCCCTCCTGCACCTATTTCTGCTGTATTCCTTCTCCTAAGCCTATGCTGCTCTATCCTTACTGGCCTGCATACTGCTCTCAACACACCATATACTCCTCCCACCTCAGGGCTCTTGCTCATCCTGTTCCTGCTGCCTGGAATGCACCTCTGCCTATCAATGTCCTACTCATGCTTCAAAGCTGCCTCCTCGTTCATTAACCTTTTCCTGATTTCACAACCCTACTTCCTTCCCTGTTGGAAGCTAATCTCACTTTCTTGTAGCAAAAACCACAATCTCCACTTATTCTGGGAACACAGGGGCCATTTCTGGCCCTTGTCTACCTTCCCACACACAGCCTAGCTTAATACAGGGCAGGGCCTTCAACAATGCTTGCTGAATAGAACTGAACTATACTCTGTCATAAAGGATGTTATCCATGCTGTAGTTGGGGCACAGAAAGAAGATGGGAGTGTGTGCACCCAGAAACCATATTCTAAAGGTGGGAAAGGATTCTGAGGTGACAAGACACTTGGGTTATAGAGAGAAGAATATAATAGAAAGGTAGACTCCCGATCCCACTTGGACCAATACCCTGCCTTCTGGAATACCTGGACTGCCTGGAGCACTGAACAGTTTCCATGCCTACTTCTCCTATGGCTCCACAAACCACACCAGTTTCTTTCTGCAACCTACAGGCCACTTAGTCACGTTTGTTATAGTCAGCTGTTGTTTTACGGCCTCAACCTCACGTAGGCCAATTGGCTGGCTGGGGTGGCCGTGCAGGCTCCCATATTCAAGGGCAGCTGTACTTCCCACCTTGCACCATCTGAATGTGAAGATCCAAGACTGGCATGTTAGTTCCCTGCTTGGGAAAGACGACCAACCTAGGAGGTGGAGTGGGGCAGTGCTGGACTGTGCAGGCCCGATGCAGAACCGCTTTACAGCGACCACTAAGAAATGACAAGTGCATGCAGTCTGTTAGTGTATCAATAGCTCAGAGGTCTTCTGCAGCAGGCCGGCGACCTTTGGTTATAGTAGGGCGTAAATGTTCTCAAACCCACCAGCCACAGCCTCCCTCAGTGACCCCCAGTCAGCACATGGCACTGTAAGCCATCTCTTTTCCTAGTCCATACACTTCATGCACAGCAGCAGCTTCTTTGCTATCCCCATTCCTTTCTCCTGTCTCCTCCTCCTCTTTTTTTTTAATGTTTATTTTATTTTTGAGAAAGAGAGAGAGAGAGAGAGAGAATCAGTGGGGAGGCGCAGAGAGAGGGAAACCGAGGATCCGAAGCAGGCTCCGTGCTAACAGCAGAGAGCCCGATGTGGGGGCTTGAACTCATGAACCTCGAGATCATGACCTGAGCTGAAGTCAGACACTCAGCTGACTGAGCCACCCAGGTGCCCCCTCCTCCTCCTCTCTTTATGGCAACATTTCCTTTAGTGGGATTTGACCTGGCCTCACCTTCTCTGGACTACTCACTTGATTAGCATAGCGTTTTGGTAACTTCTTGCCAGTGTCAACGTCCATCTCTTCATCATCTTTTTTATCATCTTCTTCCTCACTCTCCATCCCTGTCCAGTCATCTTCAGCCAGTCGTCTGGCATGGTTCACATAATCCAGCCGCTTGCTGGAGGAAAGAAGGCACAAGGACAGGCCTTTATGTCTCATAGGAAGACCCCCTACAGTGTGACGAGTTTAGCTTAATTCAAAGGCTCCAAGTTCAAGAGACCCTGGGGATTCTAGTGGAAGAGATGGTAGATTTTCCTTCATAAGGCTCAACTAGTGATGGCCCCCTCACTGGTCCTAGATAGGAAGCACCCTCTGAACACACTCAGCCTTCCTCAGAATTTCTTAAAAATGGGCCAAGTAAAACGTTGAAAGGAATTTTCAAGGTTCACTAGCTGGAAAAGCTGACCCCACTCCCACCCACCCCATTCCAGACTCCCACACCTCTACCCAGGTGATAGCTGACACTTTCCTGCCTGGCAGGCATCTAGTCCAAAGGCCCTGGGTAATTGAAGAGAAGAATCACTGAGACGTGGTGAGGAGTTTAAAACAAAGACCACTTCTGGGATTTTCCAACTTCCATAGCTTTCTGAGGAGTGGCCAGGCCTTCTTCTAGTTCTTATCTAACTTTCAAAACAGGCCTCTTAGCTTACGATTTAATCTATCTTTTACTTGTTTTTGCTTTATTGTTATCCTTCTCTCTTTTGAAAAAAACTACATATTCTAGAAAGCTTGGGCAATTAGTTAAGAAAGAATAAGAACCGTTTGGAACCTAATTGCTCCAAAGTGATCTGTAGATACCTCGTAACCTCCTGCACTTGGTTCCCTCAATGCTGAGGCAAGAAATCCACTACGGAGGCAGTGAGACCAGCTCAACTGGTTCTCCTCAGATACTCTCAGACACATGAGTTCTTGCACATTCACGTGAGGGTGCACACCAGAGAGGCATATGAAAGCACGATGGTGTTTTAATTCAAGAATAAGGAAGGGGGCACCTGGTGGCTCAGCTGGATACGCATCCAACTCTGTCTCAGGTCATGATCTAGAAGTTCATGAATGTGGGCCCTGTGTTGGGCTCTCTGCTGTCAATGCAGAGCCTACTTCCTCTGTCCACCTCTCTCTGCCCCTCCTCTCCCATCCCCTCTTTCGCTCAAAAATAAATAAATAAACATTAAAAAAAATTAGTTCTTTCTAATCCTCTATTCCTTATTACCCAGAAAAGGCCTGTGTTGTACTCAGAATACAAGGATAGGCCCTGACTTCAGAGCAGCCCAGCCTCAGACACTCCTATCCTGCTCTCTTCCCCTGCTTGCTCATCTTGGCATTGAGAATTAAGTGTATGGAAGACATTTCCTCAGATTCCCTGTGGAATTATTTGTATTGAATTCTCAAGGGCTCCACGGAAACATTCGGGCTGAAGGCAGACAGGAAGACCACACCAATGCCAGGATTCAGAGTGCAGAAGCCACACAGGGAATGTGGGGAGTGGAAGTCTGGGTGTGGCCTTCACAAGTCCCTAAATCGCAAAGCTCAATGCTGCTGCCAGGGAAAAAAGAAAAATTTAACCAAATAACTGAGCTTTTGCTTTCAAACTTCAGCCTTTCCCTATGTCTCCATCTTTTCCTAAGCTCTGGGTATAAAGGATGTCTACCTCTGCCAGGATTTACCCCTCCCAACCTCATGGGCAAGGTGTACCTACTAAGGGTCTACTTCGAAGAGACAAGCCTAGAGCCTCCTGATTGGAGGCTCCCAGCCTGGAAAGAGAAAGCAAAGAGTTAAAGCATCCCTTACGATTTCTGCAGTTCCAATAGTCGGCGGCGCCGCTCACTCTGCTCCAAGGAACTGTACTTGGACTTGTACTGGGACAGGCGGGGGTGTGGGGCAGCTGTGCTGTTCAGATCTTGAGACACAGAAAAGCTACTGGCCAGGGCTTGACTCAGCTCTTCCATCTTCCCTACAAAGGAAAACATAAGAAAATGGTTCATTCATTTCATATCACCTCCTGTGTACAGGCAGTTATGATGTAACATGATGGCTACATTCCTAAAAAAAACTCACTTGATCCAAAATCACAACTGTTTCCATGGGGAGAGAGGAAGTTAAAGGGTAAATGAGTTATATATGAGCATAACATTAATTCCTGCAGATATTTCAATAATTATCATCTTGATAGCTCTCAGTATACCGATATAAACTTATATATACATCAAGACAAATCAAGTTCACCCTGCTAACTTTTGCTTTGTCATTCATCACCAGTAGCCCGTCACTAATTTCTTTTTACCATCATTGATGTCCAGTGATGTGATCAAGTACCTAATTTTTTCCTGAGTAGTTCTAAATAGCCATTACTCAATAACTTTTAATATTAATATAACTTTTTAAAAAATGCACACATTTTATTTTATTTTATTTTATTTTATTTTATTTTATTTTATTTTACAGAGAGAGACAATGGCGTGAGCAGGGGAGAGGGCTATGGGAGAGAGAGAGAATATCAAGCAGGCTCCACACTCAGTTCAAATCCTGACGTGGGGCTTTGATCCCATAGCCCTGAGATTATGACCTGATCCGAAATCAAGAGTTGGACACTTAATTGACTAAGCCACCCAGGTGTCCCTATTTTATTTTTTTAAGTAAGCTCTACACCCAATGTGGGGCTTGAACTCACCACAAGATCAAGAATAGTATGTTCCACCAACTGAGGAGGCCAGGCACCCCTCTAATATAACTTTCCCTTTAAAAAAAATTTTTTTTTAATGTTTATCTATTCTTACAGAGAGAGAGAGAGGCAGAGAGAGGGAGACACAGAATCTGAAGCAGGCCCCAGGCTCTGAGCTGTCAGCACAAAGCCCGATGCAGGGCTTGAACTCACGAGCAATGAGATCATGACCTGAGCCAAAGTTGGATGCTTAATTGACTGAGTCACCCAGGGGCCCCTCTAATATAACTTGCCGATGCAGATTTTACCCAATTGTTGTTTAACTTTCTAATAAATGCCAACTTACATTAGAAAATTTAGCTCCAGGAGAAATATTGGTCCTGGGCCCTTACAGCAAGACAAGAGGAGCCCCAATCCCAAACCTGGCAGTTGCTTTCTCATTGTATATTTTGTTTTGTTTGTCTGTTTTGTTTGTTTGTTTGGAGTGGACAAAAGGAAGGTTTCAGGGCTACCCATGTAGGACTCACTTGTCAAAGAGCTAGATGTAGAAGGCTACCTACCAGTTAACACCAAGGTGTGTGAAAGACTGATATGTGGTACATTTGGGAGATGGAGTAGATTGGAGACAGAGTACCCAGGTGTGCCCTAAAGAATGGGAGTAGAGAGAAAGAGGTGAATTCACATGTCACTCACCTTTCTGTGAATGAAGGTATGAAGTGGCATAGGAGCTTAGCTAAGGGTTAAAGGTGTGCCTCAGACTGTAAGAAAAAAGAACATTTAGGAGAAATCAGACTCACAAAGCTGAGCTGGCCTAACCCTTTAGGTGTAGTATAAAACAGAAGGCATCCCCAGTGCTTAAACTCCACCCCAGGCCAGGTCCCACTGCTCAGAGCACCAAAACCAACAGGTTCATTCCAGAGCCTCCATGGTTAATAACAACATTATGGGTCTCTATTTGGCAGTGAATTACTTTCCATTGCACATTTGAAGTCAGATTTCCCCCCCTAATTTGCAGCATTTTTTTTTAATTTGAGAGGAACTTAAAAAAAATTGTGGTTAGAAACCCATGACATAAAATTTATCATCTTAACCATTTTAAGTTACAGTTCAGTAGTGTTACGTACATTCACATTGTTGTGCAACCAATTTCCAGAACTCTTCTCATCTTGCAAAACTGAACCTCTATACTCATTAAACATGAAGGGAACTTTTTTTTAAATTTAAGATTGACATATGACTGGTATGGTTTCGAGGTGAATCTTTTTTTTAATTAAAAAAATATTAATGCTTATTTATTTTTGAGAGAGAGAGAGAAAGAGAGAAAGAGAAAGAGTGCAAGCTGGGGAGGGGCAGAGAGAGGGGGACAGGATCTAAGGCAGGCTTCCCGCTGTCAGCGCAGAGCCCGATTGTGGGGCTCCAACTCACAAACCACGAGATCCTGACCTGAGTCAACGTCGGAGGCTTCACCGCCTGAGCCACCCAGGTGCCCCAATGAATCTTAACATACTTGTAATGCAACCAGGGTGGCCATTTGTGGTTGAGCTGGGTGATGATTACGTGGGATTCATAATGGTATGCTATTTTCCGTATTTTCCTGTACTTGTGTACACGTCTAAACACTTCTATAACACAATCTTTTAAAGAATTCATGATGTCCTCGGCTTACCAAAGTAATGACCAAATCTGAAATACACTCATTAGGCCTTGCCATGCTTTTATCTTGGTGTGGCCTCCCGTTCCGCCAAGAATCACAAAATCATTACACACGCCTTGGATACTGGGGCGGCCCTCTGTATCTTTGTGGCTGTTCTTGGCTGGCTCCTGCTCTTTCAATCCATTCCTTGGATGGGGCTGCCTCCAAGGGTCCTGACCTTAGCCCGGGTGGTCTCAGCCAGACTCAACGCGCGTCCCCTACCGCCTCTGCTGCCTCCTCCTCCCCCCTCCGGCGCCCCCGCCTCCCACTCCCCAGGCGGGGATCTATGGCTCCACTGCTGCTTCCACGGGGCTCCAGCCCCGGGGACACTACCTGCTCCACTCGGTCGTCCTCCCCGCCACAGCCCCGCATTGCCTTTCTCTAGGAACGCGGCCCCCTAGGCCTTGCACGATTCGCCCCTCCCCCACAAAAAGTCCCTGAGGGGTCCTGGCCCGACAGCCTGTAACAGAAGAGCGGCAGCGCGCTCAAGGGGAGCCTGAGCCTGGCTTAGCCTCTCCAGGGGACGCCTCGGGAGTCCAGGAGTACCAGCCGGCCAGAGGGAGAAGCAGCCGGGAGCCGAGGGGCAATTCGGGAGCCGGCGGGGCCCAGGCTCGAACCCAGGACTCACCAGGAGGAGGTGACAGTTCCAGGAGCCGCGGCCACTGCTGACGGGGGCAGACCAATCAGCTGCTCAGGGAGGGCTGGGCCCACCCCCTTGGCCGCTGCTGCTCCGCCGGGCCCACCCGCCGCGCGCCGGGAGTTTCCGGCTCCGCCCACCATCGTGAATTCCGGGAGTGCAGCCGCCGTCCGGTCGCTCGCGGGCCGTTATTTCCGCCTTCACTGGCTGGCGCTTTTTCGGTTGGCCCAGGCAGGGGTCCTTTTGTGATGCACTGTTCGGGACCATTCCTGCCCGGTGACTTGGCCCTGCCGAGGCCTGACCACAAGCTCCTCGGGGCTCCTTTCGCCAATGGGAAGAACCCCGATCTCGGGGCTGGGCATTCAAAGCCCTCCAGGCCCTGGGTCCTGAAGCTTCCCCCAGATCGCCCGCTTTTTAGGAGTACAGGCAGTCCGCTCTCTCTCCTATGCCGGCAGTGCCGGTTGCTTGGACGACACCCCCGGCCCCCGACTCCTCACACACCCGTCTCAATTAGACATTCCCGTCCCTTTCGCTCTTACTACACCGGCGACATACCTCGATTACAGCCCGTTTGCTCAGTTTGGGAGTCTCTTTCCTACTCGGCTGTGGGCTTGGCAACGGCAGGGACCTGGCTTGATTGCTGCTTAAGAAGGCAGCGTCTGGCACAAAACGTAGCACTCAGTAGACCTTGGTGAATTCCTTGAAGGGATTACGGCAAAGGGGTAGGGAGGGGAGAAGCAGCCGAGATTTAGGAGAGATAATCAAATTAGAATGCAGCCTCTTGGAGGGAGGACTGATGAGACGCAAACTAAAGATGTGACAGCCATTTACTGAATGCTTACATTGAGCCAGACACTGCTTCACGTGCATTATCTCCTTTAATCTCCAAATAACACAAGGAAGTAGACTGAAGCTCTGAGAGGTTAAGTACTTGACCAGAATCACACAGCTTTCAAGCCAAACATTTGAACTGCTGAATGTTGGACTTACAGAGAAGTTGGATATTACTACACTACAGAAAGTACACGTTTTGAGTCCAAGGAATGCCAAGATGTTACTTGCTACATATTTTAAGTACATGACACCATCCATTTGAACAAAAAAACACAGAAGATCAGACTGATACAGAGGGTAATGGGTGCTTGGGGCCCTGAAGGACCCAATTTTTTGGGCCTCAGAATTTATGTAGGTGAGCTCTATTTTTTTTTTTTTTATTTTTACTTATTTTTGAGAGAGAGAGAGACAGAGAGAGAATGAGTGGGGGAGGGGCAGAGAGAGAGGAAGATACAGAATCTGAAGCAGGCTCCAGGCTCTATCAGCACAGAGCCCAATGCGGGGCTCGAACATATGAACCTCAGGATCATAACCTGAGCCAAAGTCTGGCGCTTAACCGACTGAGCCACCCAGGAGCCCCAGTGAGTAGTCTGACTCTTTCAGTAGTCCGACTGAGCAAGGCTGTGCACTAGGTTATTTATTTGATGCATCCTCAAATAATAGCTCATGTTTGCCTGATTTATGAGACAGACAAAGAAAAGCCCAGGGCCCGACTTCACTAGGGAACTTTGACATCAGGATATTAAGTATTTTGTGTCCCAGAACCACCATTCTCTACCCATGACTATGGAGGTCACACTAAGTAGTCAGAACTGCACAGAAAAGAACAAAGGCCCTACACATTAAAGCAAAATGAGCTGAGGTCCAGGAAAAAGGCTCCAGTCCCTCATTCATACTCAGCTGAATAACTTCTCATATCACTGAAAAGAACAAACTAAATGGTACTTGGCCCAGGGGTTCATTTGGAGCCAGTCTGTGTTCCACAAGGGCCTGCTCTGCCTAGAACAGTGTTCTAGTTCCCCAACTATAGCCATTGGCACCTCACCTTCACAACACTGGCCACATACACATACACATACACCTGTGCTTAATGTCTTTAAATCAATTTACTATTTTAAAAAGGCTAAACAGGGGCACCTGGTGGCTCAGACAGTCAAGTGTCTCACTTTGGCTGAGGTCACGATCTCGAGGTTCGTGGGTTCGAGCCCTGTGTTGGGCTCTGCGCAGACAGCTCAAATTTTGTGTCTCCCTCTCTCTCTGCCCCTCCCCTGCTGTGTTTTCTCTCTTTCAAAAATAAATAAATTTTAAAAAATAAAATGAAATGAAAAAATAAAAAGCTAAATAGAGGAGCCTGGGTGGCTCAGTTGGATGAGTGTGCGACTATTGATTTCAGCTCAGGTCATGATCTCATGGTTCCTAAGTTCAGGCCCTGCCTTGGGCTCTGCCCTGGCAGTGCAGAGCCTGTTTGGGATTCTACCTCCCTCTCCCTGCCCTTTCCCTGTGTGTGCAAGCATGCGCGCGCGCACACACACACACACACAGTCTCTCCCTCTCTCTCTGAAAATAAATAAACTTAAAAGAGGAACACCGTAGCATTTCTTTAAATCACTTCCCACTTTAACAAAGTATCTATAAAATATATACACTGTGAAAATAGTATATGTTATAATCTAGCTAAATACTAGTAAGTGCAGAAAACTGTGAGACTGAGGACTTTGTAAGAATCAGATTAGCAAGTGTTGGAGAAGTGACATGGAGTAACACAAACAGAACTTTTCTTTTGTACAATCAGCAAAATCCAAAGAGAACAGAAAAGGGAAGATCCACTTTCTCCATAATTCAATGTTATTTAAGGTAGAATCTACGCACCCCCTAAAATCATCCGGTAAGCGCCCCCAGGAGGAGGAATCCCTACCTAACACAGAGAAGCTTGGGAGCAGGACAGTGTCCAGCCATTTCCAAAAGAGGAGGCTCTCATTGGGAGCCCTGAGTGTCACTCTGTCATCAGTCAACAGATGTGTGTATAATGCCTACCGTTGGTTAGGTACTGTGCCACAGGAAATACCAAAATGACTCAGACTGACCCAGTCTCTGCCCTCCAGGGGCTTACAGCCCAGTTGTAAGTAGAGAAAGTTGTGTAGTAGAGAAAGGGGCTTACAGCCCAGTTGTGTAGCAGAGAAAGACAAAAGGTAGGTGCTATAGCTGCCTGCAGACCGGTGTTAAGGAGCTCAGGTGACTGGGTAGAGAGCAAGTGGGGTGGGTCCTGGGGCCAGTGTTCAGGGAACTCCTCTCAGAGATGACATTTGAGTCAAGACCTGAATGATGAAAAGGAGCCAGTCATGAGGACAGGGAGACTGACCCCATTTCCAGAGAGGCTTTGTGTGAGGGGTAGACAGAAGGCAGGGAGGAGGGAGAAGCGGTGGGAAGATGAAGTCACAGAGGCAGGTGGGACACCGAAACCTGTAGGCCGCAATGGGGAGTTTGGATTTTACCTGCATTGCAGATGGAGGTCTTCAAAGTTATGAGATAACCAAATTTGAGTTTGAAAGAGCTCACACTGGCCACTCAGTGGGGAACTGAAGCGGGCAGCAACGGATCAGGAGGCCAGTGAGCAGGGCTGGCACTAAAGTGGTGGCAGGGAGGGCTTACTGTTCTCAAAAAGGGGAGGAGGTAAATAAGAATTATACACGTGTTCAAGTCCAGTCCCCCAGCCAAGACATTCCTCTTGAGGTTACTGGAAGTGAAAGAGAATTGGAAAGGGAATAGCTTTCTCCTGATGTAATTTGATGTGATGTAAGGCCTAGGCCCTTCAATATCTTGAGGACCAGAGCTTCTCACTGCCCACTTGGAGACACCCTGTAGGAGAGGGATTCTTCAGCAGGAGGGAGACTCTGACTTGAGAGAGTGACAAAGTCATGTATTAACAGTTGTCATATGAGCCAGGATGCAGAAACTGCAGTCATAGGAGACCCTAAAGCTCAGAGGAGCCACACTTCCTCTCCTCCACTCCCACCAGGTCCCTAGGGCTCAGCTCTGGGTGAGAGGAAACATGTCAGAGAGGTTAAGGTCTTGCGTTCTGGAGCTGGATGCTTGGGTCCAAATCCAGACTCAGCTACCCGCTGGCTCTGTGGCCATGTGAGTTATTTCACCTCCATATGCTTCAGTTTCCCCCTCTGTAAAATGTGGCTAATAATAGTAACTACCTCCAAGGTGGTTATAGTTAAGTGAAATCATCCATGTAAGGTAAATCATCAAAAATCTTGTTTTATTAGTGCTTAACTTCTTGTTTTAAGATCACCTTTCCCTTAACTGACTGACATATCATGAGTAAGTTGACTTTGGGGTGCCTGGGTGACTTAGTCGACTAAGTGCTGGACTTCAGCTCAGGTCATGATCTAGCGGTTCATGAGTTCGAGCCCCGCGTCGGGCTCTGTGCTGTCAGCTAGGAACCTCCAGCTTGCTTCGGATTCTGTGTCTTCCTCTCTCTCTACCCCTCCCCCACTCGCACTCTGTGTGTGTGTCTCTCTCTCTCAAAAGTAAACATTAAAAATAAACAAACAAACAAACAAACAAATAAATAAATCGACTTCTAATTAGGTGAGCCCAAGATGGTCTCTTTCTTGCAGACCAAAGTGCATGCCCATGATTTTAATCCAGGTCTTCCTGAGTCCAAAGTTCCTAATCTTTAGCCCACCAGACATTGCCTGCTCTGTATTTTAAGGGATCTCATTTTGCTCCTGATTTTCAGCCAGTGAGCTGAATGGGTGACTTGGTTCACCTCTACATTGCCCCCTCCCCATGCTAGGAAGAGTCCCAGCCCTGGATGGTGGTGGGGGCTGGTGGGGAGGAGGATATCCTCTGGAAACTGACAGTGGGGCCCACTCTCAGATGCTAAGACCAAGATCTGTCCTAACATTCATACAGCTTTCATCCTGGGTCAGGACTGAGGATTGCTGGGCCAGGCAAAGCACCCCTAATTTCTTTGCTGCCTCTTTTTAAGTGTTGACTGCACTCTTTTATATCCTCTCCTCCACAGCAAAAACTTTCAGAGCAGAGTGTGGTTCAGCCTTCTGCTATTAAAGAGAGGAGAGGGAGTGAGGCCCAGCACAAGAGGACGTGCCTCAAGTCACACTTTTAAGTCATCAGCAGGGCTAGGCCCCGGCTTCTCTTTCTTTTTGCCCACTCTTGCCTGCAGCCAGTCAGCCTCCCACCCTCTCAGTTGTTGGGAGATGATCTGGTGCGTTTGTGGTGGTGCTGGCTCTGTGCCAAGCACTGGACTAGGCACAAGGCTTGTGCTTCTCAAAGTGTGACCAGCAGCACCTTGCGCCCACTTCAGATGTGGAAGGGATGGGCTATCTTGCTACCATAATTTTTAATGGCTGTGTTTCATCATAAGGATAGCCAATACTATTTTTAAAATGTTTTATTTATTTTTGAGAGCAAGAGAGAGGGCGTGTGCACAAGTTGGGGAGGGGCAGAGAGAGAGGGGCCTAGAGGATCCAGAACAGGCTCTGAGCTTACAGCAGAGAGCCCAATGGGGGGCTGGAACTCATGAGCCATGAGATCATGACCTGACCCCAAGTTGGATGCTGAACCAACTGAGCCACCCAGGCACCCTGAGGATATCCAATAACTTAACCAGTCCCCTTGGGACACATTTCCAATTTTTTGCTATTATTCTGTATTATAAATACTGTGATGAAGATCCCCGTAGCTATTTTTTTGCAAAGACCCATAATTTACTTATGCTAAATTTTTGAAAATGACATTTCTAGGTCAGAAGGTATATAATGTATGTTTCTAAGGTTCTTGATACATATTGTAAAGTTGTCCGAGAGGGTATATCAATTTGCCCTCCTGCCCACTGTGTATATACATTTTTTTTCATCCATTAGGCTTTTTTGTAACAAGTCTAGCTCCCTGCCTTTCCTGCAAGTTTCTTTTGTGACCTGGGGAGGGAAAGAAAGGAGGGGCTGAGTTTTAAGGTCTTTTTTTTTTTTTTTTTTTTTTTTTTTTTTGCCTTCCTCTAAGCTTTAGGTTTTAACCCATGCAAGGTGCTTCTTTAAGCACTTTGTAGGAATTAAACCATTTAATTCTCTCCACAATTTTTAAAAACGTTTTAAAAAGTTTATTTATTTTAAGAGAGACAGTGGGGGAGCTGAGCGGGGAAGGGGCAGAGAGAGAGAGAGAGAGAGAGAGAGAGAGAGAGACTCTCTTCTGCAGTGTCAGCACCGAGACTGACTCAGAGCTTGAACTCATGAAACTGTAAGATCATGACCCGAGCCAAAATCAAGAGTCAGATGCTTAACTGACTGAGCCATGCAGGTGCTCCATTAACTTTCTTTTTTTTTTTTTAAGTAGGCTCCACAGCAATGTGGGGCTCTAACTCACCACCCTGACATTGACCCTGACATCGAGTTGCCTGTTCTACAGACTGAGCCAGCCAGGTGCTCCCCTCCATAATTTTTAATGTATTATTATTAACCATTCCCATTTTTCACTTTTTAAAAATTGTGGGGGCGCCTGGCTGGCTCATTTGGAAGAGCATGTGACTCTTGATCTCAGGGTTGTGAGTTTGAGCTCCATGCTGGGTGTAGAGATTACTTACATAAATAAATAAAACTTAAAAATATTGTGGTAAACTGTAACATAAAATTTGCCATTTTTTCTCTGCCTTCATCATGGAGCCTGCTTTGGATCCTCTGTCCACCCCTCTTTCTACCCCTCCTCTGCTCATGTTCTCTCAAAAAAAATAAATAAATAATATTTGCCATTTCAAACATTTTTAAGTGTATAACTCCATGGTGTTAATTACATTTACCATGCTGTATTCACCATCACCACTATTTCCAAAATTTTTTCATTACCCCAAACAGAAACTCTACCTGTTCAGCAATAATTCCCCATTCTTTTCACCTATCCCATATTACTACTTATTTGCAATACAGAAAATGGAGGCACAGGAACGCTAAGTAAAATAACCAATGTTACATGGCTAGTTAAGCATAGAAGCCACCATTCAGACTAGGCAGTCTGGCTCCAGAACTTGCTTTCTAAATCTGGCATAGGTTTTTTTTTGTTGTTGTTGTTTGGTTTTTTTTTAAGCCCAAATTTTCTGGTTACAGGTTATTTCTTTCATGTCTTCCCTGCAAAGAATGAAAGACTTTTCTAAAGAATCTTGTATTTTACTCCTAAATTCCTAAACCCAATTTCCTCCAAGAGAACTTTGAAGTTGTATCCATTTGGGCTACAGGTGCGGGATCTAACTACTCCAAAGGGCACATCTGTTTCCTTGTCCTGTGCAGTCTGGTAGGAGCCAGTGGTGGCTTTTAGAGCACCAAACTCTCCATGAAATCCCCAATCCTGGGAGCCCTAAGGACATTTCTCAAATGGGCTGAGATTGTGCCCAGCCACCAGAGCTCAGTGCTGAGGAGTAGGATTTCTTTTTTTTTTTTTTT